TCACAGCAACCTCCAACTCTTGGGCTTATGCGATTTTCTTGCCTCAGCCTCCCAAGTAGCTGGGACTACAGGCACCCGCCACAACGCCTGGCTACTTTTGTTGTTGTTGTTGTTGTTGCAGTTGTCATTGTTGTTTAGCAAGCTTGGGCCGGGTTCAAACCCACCAGCCTCAGTGTATGTGGCTGGCGCTCTAATCACTGAGCTATGGGCCCAGAGTCAATGGTTTAATTTTTTTTTTTTGAGAAAAGAGTCTCATTATGTCATTCTTGGTAGAGTGCTGTGGCGTCACAGCAACCTTAAGTTCTTGGGCTTAAGAGATTCTCTTGCCTCAGCCTCCCAAGTAGCTGGGACTACAGGCACCCGCCACAATGCCTGGCTATTTTTTGTTGTAGTTGTCGTTGTTTAGCTGGCCCAGGCCAGGTTCGAACCTGCCAGCCTTGTGGGTTCGAACCACAGTGCTACAGGTGCCAAGCCCAATGCTTTAAATTTTTGTACTTCTCTGACGATTCTTTCTCCCAGGGTCTATAAACATTAATTTGTTTTTATATTTTAATATTTTGTTGTTGTTGTTTTTAAATCAAAAGTAATCTAGGGCTAGCATTTTATTTGCTAGACCTGGCATTTGCTCTACATAAGGTTCAAAGTTTCCTTTCCTTTTTAAAGTTTCTTTTACATTTTATGATGTTTTCTTTCCATAATATTTACATTTTTGATGTTTAGATATTATTCTTCAGTGAAGCACGAGTTTCTTTTTGTGGTTCCTGATCAATTTTAAATGGTTGGCACACCAGTGGCAATGTTAATTAACTGTTTTCTTGGCAGCCTTTTTAGCTTCATGGGCTTGTAGTACAGCAAATGCTTCATCAACCTTAGCACGGAGAGACCCTGGACACTCAAGCATATGAAGAAGTTGTGAATTATCAATCTCCAACAACATGCCAGTGAGTTTACCAGCACGAGTAGGGTACATGGCTTGAATAAGAGGAAAGAGCCGTTCACCTAACATTTGCTTTTGCTCTTGAAGAGAGGCAGCTGCCAATATGAAAACAGTCAAAGGTTCCTGACCTTGTATATGAACAGCAGGCTGTTGCATGGTAACTTGCGGCTGTGCATTAAGATGTTGCTGAGGACTGCGGACTCCTGCAGTGTATTTGTACTGTGGAACACTGCGGACAGCAGGAGTAG